TACTGGGGAGAGACTACGGAACACGACCAACACACCCCCATGGGAGGAGGTTTACACCCAGTCTACAAAAACCCCACAAAAATACAGCTTCAAAACCAAAGAGCTATTATTATACTGGATGCTTACAATCCTTTGATAACAAAAGCACTTCATCTTCAGATTTGATCTAAATCAGTCACAACACACTCACAACAGTAAGGTCGTCTATTCAACTTCAGGATCTCTGTCCCGAAAAGGCTGCTCGGGAGTAAGCGGAGCACACAACTGCAAGTCGGAGACCACGTCTACGCTGTGCCAGAACTTCATTGCAACCTCTCGCCCAAGGCACGCAACACATAACCTGAAGGCTCTGGTCCAGTGTCAGAAACATGTGAAAGCAAACCATTTTTGATTCCCAAAATTAGGATTCTTTTCAGTTGTTCTATTTGTGTACACTCAAACATTTTTATAAACTGAGAAAGTTACATTACGTGCTTAACATATGGACTTCACACCTATCTTACATGAATTAACAATATGTTTACAATTAAATTGTGACAAAAAACAAGAACCTTCATATTCCCAAGTGGAACTGAAATATCATTCCACAGTCTTGTCCAAGCTGCCAATGCAAACTAGCCAAGAAAGATTGCAGCTAGCAGATATGATGAGAGACAGAAACATAAAACGCACAGAGGGTGAAAAAAAGAAAGCCAAACACTTCAAAAATGACAATAAATTACACTGTTCCTATTTGCTTTTCTCGGAGACGTTGTGGGGAAGGGACAATTCCTTTTCCAGCAGGATAACAGATCGTGGCCCATTAAGTCTGCAGCAAGCGCTTCCTCACTGATCATTTCGAGGGGTGCTTTCTCTTTAGTGTAGATGACTCGAAGCGGAGTTGTCAAACTCAAATCCTAATGATAATGGTGTCTGAGAAGTTTTCAGCTGTTGTTTGGCAGTGGAAAAACAAACCAAAAGCAGAAGCATTTTTAAAATAGCCTAAAAACAGCTGAGAAATAAAAAGTATTTAGATGGTAACGTGATAAACAGTCTCCAGTGCTGGGTTCAGGACTACGTCCCAATGTTGACAGCTATAGGCAGGTGTAAGACTGGTGATTTTCAATAGATAAAAACACACTTTTAAACAACCTTGCATCTCAAATGACTGTCAACTTTTGTCCCAGACTTGACTGGGTCACAAGGCCTCCTTACATAGCAGTGTCTGTCAGCACCGGATTTCAGAAGATTATTCAGAGCACATTCCTCGACAGAAAGCATTTTTCAACCAATGTAGCCATTTACAGTTACTAAGGATTAGCGCCAATATACACAGAAACACACACTTTTTTCCCTGCTGCTGTAGTATGAAAGAAGCTCCTTAATGCTTCAGTACCTAAAATGGAACTAGAGAAAATACAATACGTCTATTTTATAAGTATGGTCCTTAAAAGAAACACTCAAGAACAATGGTGCTGATCTTCAAACTATCACAAAACACGAGAGTCATGAGGAAGCAAAGGATCCCTTTGCCTCCGTATCTGTTATCTGCAGCTCTTGTTTAAGCTCGACATGTGCCTATGAATTCAGGTGGAACGACAGCGCTGTAAGAGGAGAGACACCTGGTACAACACCTTCCACAGGACAAACTGGTAACGCGGAATCTTCTAGCAATCAGCTTGCTGTGTTACACGCTGCAGGCGTGCAGAACTGCCTCACAGAGTGGATTTCAGCAGCAGGCCCGTTTCCTTCCCACTACAAAATAAGTAACAAACGATAGCTATGGGACAACAAGCTGCCTCCCGGTGCACTGCACGAATCAATATAATTAACACGCTGTTCCAACTTTTTCAGATTCCAGATAGATTTTGCATAGCAGGCTTTCAGAATGTGTTTTTCCAACTAATTTAGATTTGCTCTCCATTAGTTAAACGAGAAAAAAGTACCTCCATTTTTTTTTTCCCCCCTAAAAACCACCTCCTTTTCTAACAGAACTGTATTCTGCCTTGGTATAAACAACAAGGTGATGAAAAATTAAGGTGCAACTATTCTGACCGCTTCTCACATATACCTGTAAGATATAAACAGACAATCAAAGAAAAAAAAAAGCCTTCCAATTTTGGAAGTACCTTTGAATATATCCAGCTGCCCAGTAAAACTAGTTTTTGCCTGGCAAAACCTAGCAAGTCTGTGTCTTGCCTTCCGTTTGCCAGTCTGGATAGCAGCGCTGACAGTCCCCAGAAGGAAATCCACCAGTGCAGCAAGAGTTTAAGGAACAAACCTACATCTTTTCTGCATCTCAGCAGGACTTCCACCCTAGATGCTGATAGAACGACCCATCCACACGTAACCCTTAAGCTAACATACAGCACAAAGATGCTTTCGAAATTTTGGGGCAAGTAACTACGTACTACACACACTTTTCTAATTAAGCACGGTAAATTCCTCTGCATCTGCCAGTAATCCAATATTGTGCAAAACAATCCGCTAGCGAGTGAAAGGACAGACTGTCGATATACTTCCTCCGATAAGACCATACCATTCAGTTGCCTTGTATATCATGCTGCTTATTGTAGTAACTGCGTAAAGATTTAGACAGGCACCTGTGCCATTCAGTATTACTGTACATTGTGTAACAATTCTGGGACCAAAAACCTGCACATTATTACAGACTCCTCTCCAATAAAATGATCACATTTGCAGAGCTGTTAATATTAAGTGCATCTAGATCATTGCTGCCCATCTCAAAAGACTGAACAGAGTCAAAATGGATTTTGGAAATGTGTTAGAGTTCTGCTGCACTCACCTTGAGTTGGGAACTGCACACCAGTCACATCAAAACCCCCACATTATTCACTCTAATGCTGACCACAAAAAGAACGTGACTGCAAGTTAGCTGATGAATAATTTTTCTGAGGCACTAGTAAGTATAGATTGCTAGAAATAAATTAGCACAACCGTACCCTTTAAAAAAAAATCCAGGAACAAGAAAGTTATTCATGAGCTTACAGTGCAGCTCCCACGTTGACCTGAAGAATTACAAGTATGAGTAATTAGTTGGTGCTACGCGAAAATCTCAGGCTACCAAAGCCAAGCTGCAGTGGTTGACAGGGAACCCCCAAGCCCTCCAAGCAACCGCTGAATTTGATAACATACATAATACACCAATATTAAGTATCCTGACAGTTTCTGTCTCGAGCACTACACACGGCTGTCCCACCAGACTGTGGATTTAGCAGAGCAAGAGTAAACACAACTCAGACATCGGCATAACCCGGGCAGCTGTCTGACAAAAGCTAATTTAGCAACCTGTTTACAGCTGGAAAGAAAATTTATCCCAACACAGATGCCAACTTGGCAAAGGCTTAATGAAATCCTCTAAGGTCAAACCAAGTTCTGTTGGGAAGCAATAAATACTTGCTAGTCCACCCCCACACGCACGTGCCACGAGATGCTCACTTGTAGCACATAGCACCAGCCCGCAGTTTGGGTTACTGACTGCAACACTTCTGCCTGACTAGCAGGCACGTCTTTACTGACTTCAGGTTGAAATTCTGGACTCATTTTTTTATTTTAATCCCCATCGGGGTGATTCATTCCTGAGAAAACTAAGGCCTAAATTCATCACTCCTCCAAACCCACTATCTAAAGGCGCAGGGGAATGGGAAAGACCGGTTTATAGCCAGAAAACCTATACCCCAGTCAGCACTAAAAATCCTTGCCAGCACTAAACATCCTTGCCGGAGAATTCCACCATGTGTGCATCAGGAACTGCACCGTAGTTGTACGCAAGTTTCTCCACAGGTTCCCTTAAGAGCACCAGCACCGGCACTAACTCCACACACAACTCCTGCACACACAGATGACAAAGTCCCCCCTCTATATTCCATTGACATTGGTATTTGCACAAAAAAAAAAAAGGAAAAATCTTGCAGTATAACATTTGAATTCAATGCTAGCGAGGGTTACGACACAGTAACCCATCATCTAAAACCCACCAACAGTTTTCAAAAGATGAAATACAGCAAAGAGAAAAATGTCTTGCACTTAGCTCTTCGCTGTTCTCTGACCGTTCATCGCTGTACTGAATAACATGAACGACCAGCTCTAATCCAAGGACTATAAAGGTGGAGAGTCAGACTTCCACATGCCTTCCAACAAGCCCACTGTCCAGCATCCACAAACTGATTAGAATTCTACCTTAGCACGGATTCCAGAATATGACTCTTAATCAATAAGCACTTACAGGCGTTTTAATTTAGCAAGTGGTTCTTTTAACAGCAGTCTGATCTCCATATGTAAAATCAAACAATTATGAAAGTATTTCCAGGATCTAGATCTAAATCTCCTCTCATAAGCCAATAAATCTAAGACCATATTTTTTGATTCCATAGCCACTCTTAAATGTTTATCATTTGGGTTTTTTTTCTAGAAATCCTGAGTCTTCCCTGAGCTACAAACAACACATTCGATTTCTAAAATTGCTTTGATGAGTGCCAGTTATCCCTACACTTTTCTCACATAATTTTACCCTCAAAGCTAAGTGTCCATTTTCTATCTTATCATCAGAAGCAAGAGGATAAAATGTTAACAGAAGAACTAACATCCAAACTGGAATTAACCTGGATTACATATATGAATATAGGAGAACTCTATCTGCGTTCTTAACACCACTCCAGCTTTAAGAGCTTTAGGTTATTTTGAGAGGCAAAGGGCAGACAGTAACATCTGATACCGTCCAGAGCAATCATGACTTCACACTTACATGGAACTCGGTTGTATTGAGAATGTGACGACCATCCGGACTCCAGCATGAAGCCACCAAGCCTGCTGACCCCTCGTCTATCTTACAGTGCCAGTCTGGCTGCTCCAAGGACCAGACCTAGGTCGGAGAGGAAACCAGACAGTGCACCAAACAAACAGCTCACCAAAACCTCTGCTTACGCAACTACGCTACAGCCAAGAAAAGGTTCCTGCACTGCATACCAGGGAGGTCAGGAAACCTCTGAAAGCCCCTGGCCATGAAGGACTGGCGCTGGATCCCGCTACAAAAGTAAGTCTCACACCTCTGCGTGTTAATACAAATTGTAAAGTAAGGTGTGTTTTTCTCCTGTGACAAATATTCTGAACATCCAACACCTTAAAAAAAAGCTGTAGTTGATTTAACAAGTTTGCATGTATTTATTTCCTACTGAACTAAGAAACTGGTAAGAATCTCCAGCTTTGATTTGTTTTGGCAAGTATTTTTATTCTAAATTTGGTGGGTTGTTGTTTGCTTGGTTTTTTTTCAAACTAAGATGTTTGTCATGGTTTTAAAAATAACGGCATGCTAGGTTATCCTCAAACCACACATTATCAATGACAATGTCAGCGACTTCAGCAAAAGCACTGAACCAGTGCTTGCCATTAAGAAACGCTCACTCACACCACACACAAACCCCCAATAAGAAACATATTTTGTCCTGCTTCTGTCCTTACCTGAACAATCCCGCGCTTGTACATGGCACATAATATGAAGAGGGAATCAGACGACCATTCTATGTACTGGATCTGATCCAGGCAAGTGTACAGCTGGAGGATCTGGAGGGTATTCACATCCCGGACCACCAGGCGGTACTGCACGCAGGAAGCCTGAACGAGAACAAACCCAAAGCTGAGCTGGTGCACCAACGCGGGGTGAGAACCATGACTGTCACCGTGCCGGGACAAAGCGCTGTGCCGCTGGCCTGGCACACCTCAGCCCAACCGGGATTCCTAATTTCAGAAAGGTTTGGTGTGCGCTGGGCTCTGCTGCAAACGACAGCAAAAGCAGCTACACCAGGAGGGAAGGGGGGTTATATTAATAAAAAGAATCCTCATTCATTCCAGGTAACTAATTCTACTTTTTAAAACTCACCCTTTGCCTCATAACTATTATTTTATTTGACTAACCGTGACCGGGTCTCCGTTATAAAGACCCTCGTTGACTAAAAGCCTCGCAGCGAGCAAGCAGTCCCGCGTACGTAGATAAGTTTTTAGGTGACCAACAGCGTTGTCGCCGCTCCTTCAGTGCCCGGCCCCGGCGGCATGACGGCCGGCCCCGGGGGGGGACCTGTCCCGGGAGGGCCCGGCCCGGGGGGGAGAGCTGTCTCGGGGCCCCGGCGCTGTACCACACGCACCGGCCGTGCTCCCC